CTGGGACAGCCCGCCCCAGGGGCTGCAAGCGCCGGGCGCCCCAGGCACCCTCGCAGCGGGAGAACAGGGCAGCCGAGAGCCTGGGTTTCTGAGCCTCCCACCCCGCGCGATCCGGAGGGGAACCTGCCTGTCGGACACTTACTCCGGAGTGAAACTAGAGCGAGGCTGGATTTCTGCTCCGTTCCTCGCCGCGCAGCGCCGTCCCAGACACCACAAGAACTTGACACCAGCGCGGCTGCGACTCCGCGCTCAGGCTGACTCGCTTGTTGTGGTTTGAAAAAAGTTGAGTCCTGACCCGCGGAAGAAACGGGGAAAGACCCGCCAGCCGCTGCCCTGGGGGATAAAAAGAAAAAGTAAGACTCGAGCCGATCGTTACTTTTCCAAAGCTTTTTCGTTGTTGAGTTGCACGTTGCCGTTTTGTATTGAAAAAGGTGAACTTGCTTTGAACGGGACTTGGCAAGCAAACGAGTTTCTCCCTGCTTAATTGTAACTGCTTCAAAGACAGTTTGGTGGACTGTGTTCTATGACTGCAAAGATGGAACCTACATTCTACGATGATGCCCTAAATGCTACCTTTGTACAGCCAGAAAGTGGTGGTTATGGATATAATAACCCTAAAGTCCTGAAGCAGAATATGACACTAAATCTGGCTGATCCTTCCAGCAACCTGAAGCCCCACCTCAGGAACAAGAATGCTGATATTCTTACCTCCCCAGATGTTGGTCTCCTGAAGCTGGCATCTCCTGAACTGGAAAGGCTAATCATCCAGTCCAGCAATGGCTTGATCACCACTACTCCCACCCCAACACAGTTTCTGTGTCCCAAAAATGTTACTGATGAGCAAGAAGGGTTTGCTGAAGGTTTTGTGAGAGCTCTGGCAGAGCTACACAATCAGAATACGATGCCCAGTGTTACAACTGCTGCCCAACCAGTTAGCAGTGGTATGACACCTGTTTCATCTATGGCTGGCAACAATGGTTTCAACACCAGTTTGCACAGCGAACCTCCAGTGTATGCTAATCTCAGCAACTTTAACCCTAGCGCACTCAGCACAGCACCTAACTACAATGCAAACAACATGGGCTACCCACCTCAGCATCACATTAATCCACAGATGCCAGTGCAGCATCCCAGGCTCCAAGCTCTGAAAGAAGAACCTCAAACTGTACCTGAAATGCCAGGAGAGACTCCTCCACTGTCCCCCATTGATATGGAGTCACAGGAGAGGATCAAGGCTGAGAGGAAGCGCATGAGAAACAGAATTGCAGCCTCCAAATGCCGGAAAAGGAAGTTGGAAAGGATTGCCAGATTGGAAGAAAAAGTGAAAACTTTGAAAGCCCAGAACTCAGAACTGGCATCCACTGCCAACATGCTCAGAGAACAGGTTGCACAGCTTAAGCAGAAGGTCATGAACCATGTCAACAGTGGGTGCCAACTAATGCTAACACAACAGTTGCAAACATTTTGAAGATACTGACTTGGGGTGAAAAATCTATGATGTTGCAGTAGAGCAACAGAAAAAACAAACCCATAACAAGTGGCAGATTCATAAAGCTAATGGTAAAGGCTTGAGAGGCATTGAGTCCTGCTTGCACCCCACAAAGTACATGTGTGGAAAGACTGGCGAGCCTTCAACAGAGCTAGTAGCAAAACAGCACCACTCTGAGAAGTGCTGTTCCTGCTCAGATGATACATCAGATCTTTGTTTAATATTGACCAAGACCTGCATGGACCTAACATTCGATGATCATTCAGTATTAAAGGTTAAACTGCAATAGAGACTGTAGGTTGCTTTCTGTAATACTCTTAAAGAAAACACAAATGGGAGGGAGGTTTGTGGGAGGCTGATAAAAACAAATATACTGCCTGCCTTCAAGTAAATTGTGTATGTACATTTTTTTTATTTTATGAAAGCTGATTAATGTCAATAAACAACTTCATGACTTTGTAAATTATTTTTATGTTTGTGTTCTGTCCAGTAATGTTTGTAAATGAGGGTTTTTGAGCACTCTGAATTTACCATTTGTAATAAAGTATATAATTTTTTATGTTTCTGAAAAAAGTCCAGAAAGGTTCTATTATATTTAAGAAAATATAAAAGCATTAATAATGCATTTCCTTCCCCTCTTCCCTCCCTCCCCCTCCTTTTTTACCAGTACCTAAATCAGGACTCGTATCACACATGCTGAACTCTCAGTGGTAGAGAATGTTTAACTTATACTGTAACAAGAAGACACGTTCTGGAGAATGTGTTCAAGTGAAAAGATAAACTATACCCTGTAACATGAACAGCAAATAATGTATGTATTTTAAGTGTTTTATGGATTTAGTTCAGATTGGCTTGCCTGTCATAATCCCATATCACAATATAGACAATAGCTTTAAAAATTAAGCAGTTTGGGGGAGTTTGCTATTTGCATCAACTTGCCCTGTCCTATACTAGTCTGAACTGTAACTATTTCATATTACTTATTAAAATAATATCCCCAACACCATATTTTAGGTAGGAAATTTAACAAAAAGGTATCCTTCAGTACTGTCTAATTATTCAGAAATAAGAGGTGGTCTTTGTTCATGAATACTTGCTGTCACAATAAAATTCTGTAATCCCTTTCCCTATGTTGAAATCTTTACCCTTTTAGACATTTGAATATTAAAATGTATTTACCAATATGTAAACTGGGGAGTTTTAATATAATGGAGAACATATGTAACTATAAATTGAAAGAATGTAAATAAAAAAGGAAGACATTCAGGAAGGACAAAAAAAGGAAATTGACAATTTACCTGTCATTTTCAGTTTGCATTTAAATAATGGAAGTATGAGACCACTTTTGAGGACAGAATGAAAACAAGCAGCAGTTTAGACAAGTCAACTCATCTGAAATAAGCCCATGTTTTTGGTAAAATAATTCAGGATTTTCAATTTACTGGCTCTGGATCCAATTAAATTGTCTGTCTGGTTTATATAAATGTATTTAGAATGATTTTTAGAACTGCAAGATGAAACATATGTTATAAAAGGAGAGGCAGAAATTTTAAATCACTAATTACATATATTATAGTTCTGGTAAATTATTTTTTAGACTAGTAAGCCTGAAAGTTTTACCTATAAGTTAAAATACAAGTAAATAGACTATAAAATAAGGTGACAGTCTTGCTTAGTATCTCAGAATGAAACTACATAATATATATACTGGTATTAAGTGGCAGTGAAACTTTGACACAAACTTTTTGCAACTACTTGAGCTCAGGATATCTGTTTCCTTGTAGCATACACATATTTTGGGGGCTTTGTGTCCATATTATAGATCCTTGGGTATCAAAATCATATGCATGATGGAGTGTTTCAACTTCTAATATAGTATTTTTTCCTTATTATATATGTACTGGTAGTGGAGGTTATTAGTTTTTATTTGCTACTATTGAATACATAAAATTGTAACAAACACCAAACAAAGGGTTACTGGGAGGATGCTGTAGTTTGCCAAGAGTACATTTTGTTGATGTCAGCAATCCGGAAGGTAAGTTCATTTTGACCATATGTAGGAATAGAAAGTAGAAGGGTGATACACAGCATTGCTGGGTGTGACTTTGCAGGAACTTTTAACAAGTGCCAACTAGCAAAATAAGCAGGGCAAGAAGATGAATTACTGCAAAGGTATGGGTTTAACTCCTGACAGTGCTGTGCTAAGGAGGAGATCCTACTAATGAGTCTTTTACCTAAACATGTAAATTTTTATCTCCTGACTAGATCATTCCAAAATTATATTTTAATTAGACACCATGCCCCACACACTTAATGTTGCAGTTATGGTCTGTGCCATCTCATAAGTAATAACAAAACCAGAAAGAATATGTTCAGGGTTGGATAGCTGTAGACCAATTCCCTTCAGTCCAGTTTGACACACAGGTGTGCATATCACAAATTCATTATCACAGTTGTCACAAGAGGCCCAGATCCTCAAAGGGGTTTAGACTCCTAGGCTACAGTCTTGTGCAAAAACATATGCAAATGAAGTGTGTGATGAATATTGCACCTCATTTGCATACTTAATGAGGTGCCATTTTGTGCAAGGGGCTTTTGCGCAAGAAGGAGCAGTCTACACTGCGCATTGCACAAAAACCCCCTCTTGCACAAGAGCCGTTCTGCTGCTTATTTTCAGGCAAAATGGCTCTTGTACAAGAGGGGTTTTGCGCAAGAAGGAGCAGGCTGCGTCTACACTGGCAAGATTTGGCTGCTTTTGCGCAAAATCTTGCCGCCTCTCTACACTGGCCACGAGTATTTGTGCAAGAACACTGACTTTGTACTGTACAAAATCAGTGGTTGTTGCGCAAATACTCCGATGCTGCCGCTCAGGGATAAGCCCTCTTGCGCAAGTATTCTTTTGCGCAAAGGCACATGCCAGTATAGACGCTCTCTTGCGCAAATACTTTTAACGGAAAAACTTTTCCATTAAAAGTATTTGTGCAAAATCATGCCAGTCTAGACGCAGCCGCAGTGTAGACTGTTCCTTCTTGCGCAAAAGTCCCTTGTGCAAAAATGGTGGCTCATTAAGTATGCAAATGAGGTGTAGCAATATTCATCACCGTGCCTCATTTGTATATGTTGTTGCGCAAGATGGGCCAGTGTAGACATAGCTCTAGTTTCCACTGATTTCCACAAATCATTTGAGGACCTGGGCCTAACAGCCATCCTAGCAGGCAGGCTCACAGGGGAACCCAAGGGAAAAATAGGGGATGGACAGTGTATTAAACTCTCCCAATTTGTCTTGGTTTGTGTTGAGATGCCAAGGTACTGCAGGTAGGTCAAGCTTACAGGGTATGCAGAGGCATGGTCCATTTTGAGAAAAGGCTCTCGTATTGCAAATCTATTGTCACTGCATTGATTCACTTCTGCTAAATGTTAATCTAATCCTGCTTTTTAGATCACACAATAATCACTAGACACAAGTATAAGGGAAGATGTGAAGAAAAAATACAGCAATTTAATATTTGCTTAAATGTTGAGATTGCATGTCGTCTAATATATACCATTTCTTGCCAGTATGAGACAGTCAGTTCTCAGAGGTTTAGAGAGAAACTTTTTGTTGCCCTAGCTGTACTGGCAAAGGAGTATTTTTGCAAACAACAGCATTGTGGACATGTATTTTGCTTGGCAGCGAGCCTTGTCAACGGATTCAGGAAGTGAAGTCAGAAAAAAGGCAGGGTTTCAAAGAGAGCAGGCTACATCGAAGTGCCTAGGCAGTGAGCATTCTAATCAGAACAATGTACTTGTGTTACAGAAATATTGATTAGCGTTTGAATCTATAGTAGAAAAAAAAAAACCCGCACCACTATTTCTCATGGGGGTAGAAAAAAAGTGAGCCATAATAGGCCTTTGATCATGATTATTCACTGAATAATTTTCAGCCCAAAGGATAACTGCTTGCCCCTATATAAAGGAAAACTAGTCAGTATCTATTTTATTATGTCTTACAAAGGAAATACTGCCTTTCATTTGTATTGTCAGACAGCAGTAATAGTAATTAACAGATTCAGCCCTCCTTGAATCTCTGCTCTGTGTGTGATCAGGTTTGGAAAATGCTGATTCCAAATCACCACACTATTAAATCACCATATCTCAGTACCATACACCTACCCACAACTGAGGTCTAATGGCCAGGTGCCTCAAATCACCTCCATTTGGTAGGAAAAGAAGCCATGAAATAAAAACAAGCCATCTCCCCCGTGTACAAGGGGAGAATCTATTACAATTACCTTTGAGAAAAACTAATAGTCCCATAGTATCTGAGCACTTCACATGCATTCATGAATTTATCCTCCCAACAACACTGCAAGGTAGGAAATTCTTATCTCTTTTACTCTTTGGCAGAGAGAAAACAGGGGCTACATCTACACTGGCATGATTTTCCAGAAATGCTTAAAACGGAACAGTTTTCTGTTATAAGTATTTCCGGAAAAAGAGCGTCTACATTGGCAGGATGTTTTTCCGGAAAAGCCCTTTTTCCGGAAAAGCGTCCGTGGCCAATGTAGATGCGCTTTTCCGGAAAAAAGCCCCGATCACCATTTTCACGATCGGGGCTTTTTTTGCGGAAAAGACTACTGTGCTGTCTACACTGGCCCTTTTCCGGAATAGTTTTCCGGAAAAAGGACTTTTGCCTGAGCGGGAGCAGCATATTTTTTCCGGAAAAGCAGCTGATTTCTTACAGTAGATCATCAGTGCTTTTCCGGAAATTCAAGGGCCAGTGTAGACAGCTCGCAGCTTATTCCGGAAAAGCAGCTGATTTTCCGGAATAAGTGGCCCAGTGTAGACACAGCATGTGGGTTTAGTAGACTTGTCCTATCTTACATGGGGGCTGTGTCTACATTGGCACCTTTGTTCAGAAATGCTTAAAACGGAACAGTTTTCCGTTATAAGTATTTCCGGAAAAAGAGCGTCTACATTGGCAGGATGCTTTTCCGGAAAAGCAATGACGATCTACTGTAAAATTGTCAGTGCTTTTCCGGAAATTCAAGGGCCAGTGTAGCCAGCTCGCAGCTTATTCCGGAAAAGCAGCTGCTTTTCCGGAATAACTTGAAAGCTGTCTACGCTGGTTGCTTGCTTTTCCGGAAAAGCATCCTGCCAATGTAGACGCTCTTTTTCCGGAAATACTTATAACAGAAAACTGTTCCGTTTTAAGCATTTCTGAACAAAGG